ATATTCCCATGGTCAAATAGGAATGAGAAGTGTCTCAAGGATGCAAGAATGAGACAATTAACAAATATGCTCAAAACAGTCCCTACTTCTTTAGATCTGATGCTTCGAATCTATCTTGAGCTTCTGGGCAGCTCTAGGGGCACATCTTTTATTTCTGCCTGTTTTTGGCATTGTTCAGGGTGGGCTGTACATGGGAAGGTTGCTGATATGGTTACTGGTCATATCACTGAAATCAGCAGGAAAAGCAAGAGCTGGGGGTGTACTCCACAACCCTCATAGAAAGGGAGACATTTGTAAGCTGAATCTGTGGGTGTGACAAGGAAGAGAAAAGGGCTGGAGCTGGAGCTGTGAACTGTAATAAGATTACACAATTTTGAGCACGAGAGCTGAGGAGAGCACCATCTTCTGCTTCCCCATGCTATTCTAACAGCTGTATTTTGCAAGAGTGAATTTCTTGATGTTACATCACTGTCAAAAAGCAAGTTTGAAGAGAAGAAGGCAAAACAAAGTAGGGAAATTCTACAACAAGGAAAACATGTAAACCTTTATCTGATCACTCTACAGCTGTTTAGAGGGGACTGTATTATTAACAAGCTGCTAGTGCATCAGTGAAATAAAGCCATCATGGTATAAAGTGACTGGATATTAGCCATTTATTCAACCTTATTGACACAAAATTCAGTTACATTGATTCTGACAATTTAAGTATATGTTTGTGAAATGTAAAGCTGCAGTTTTGGGCTTATGCTGCCTGGCAAATAGGAACACCACCCATTTTTCATCAGCCAATATTCCCTTTGCTCCTCTCTGAGCTCCTCACCAGCTATCCCCTTCGAGGAAGCTGTTCCAACTTGTTCATACTGCTCTTCATATCCACAAGTACCCTTTTGCTTGCATATATCATTCTCTGCACTTTTTCTCTGCATCTGTCTTGCACTGATTTGCAAACAGTTTGGATCAGAGATGTGTACCATCTTCTTGCAGTACCTTGTGCATTATCAGTAACTGGGTCAATTACCCAGAGCTGTTGGATTGATTGTTGCCCTCTTGGGGTGCCCAAGGGATTTCAGTTTGCACTGAGGACAGTGAGGCTCTGAAAGTATTTCACCTCTAGAAGCAAATTACTCTGCTCCTGGCAGATAAAATCAGAAAGAAAATATTGCACCTGATCTCCCACGCCATTTTCCAAAAGCATTTTTCATTTCTATGTGCTCAAATATGCTTTACTTTTAATGATCTAAGCAAGGTACACAGCTTACATGCAGTAAGGAAGCTTTTTAAAAATGTATGTGCTCATTTCTGCCACTGTTTAATGCTTTGGACTTTTATAGCTCCTTTTCTCACTTGATTTCCATATGCTATGGTTTACTGCTTGAACAATTTCAGAAATGATGATGACTTTCAATTTTGTATAACTCAATTGTGCTTTGGAACAGACAATTATGGTTCCTCCAGCACCCAAGTACAACTGATGTGTGGGTGATGTAGGGCACGTTCTCGTCCTGAGCTCATTCAAATTCCCTGCTAAATGGAGCTACATTTGCAAGAGAGTGGGTCATATTGGCCTAAAATGGATATCAGAAGGGTCCACTGCAGCAAAACCCCTCATTCTACTGTCTATTATTAGCATACACAGATGTAAAAATAAGTGCTATTAATAGAATTCTCTGTATTTAACAGATCAAATACGATTGGGAAAATTCCAGGTTATTATGTAATGTTTGTTTTATCTAGAGGTTATAAAACTCTGCAAAAGCAGTTGTCATCATCCTATGGTGCTTCTTACCTATTATGCTATACAACAGTCTTTAATTCTATTAAATGTTATGTTGCAAATTGTACAGTTGTTGCAAGAAGACTGGTCATCTTGTAGTGGAATATGGATTTTCTTGCTGATGGCACTGCAATATTTGTGTGTATCCAGGTATTTCTCATCCAGTCCAAATGCAGCAAAAACATGCAGTTAAAAAACTAGTACTGAGGAATCAAAGACAGGAAAGAGATCAGCATGAAGGAGGAAGACTGTGGATGTCATGGTGATCACATATGTATAACCCATATTGTTAGTGGACCACAGGAGTTTTTCATAGAAAAATAGGATAAAAAAAAAAAGCCGTTTGGTTTAGGTTGGAAGGGAACATCCCCAGCAGGCACAGCTGCCACCCAGCTGGGGCCCCATCCAACCTGGCCTGGAACACCTCCAGGAATGGGGCATCCACAGCTCTTCTATGCAGCTGTGCCAGTGCCTCACCACCCTCTGAGTAAAGAATTTCTGCCTAAGGTCAAATCTAAATGTCCCCGTTTTTAGTTTAAAGCCATTCCCCCTTGTCATATCAGTTACCAGAATGTGGATAAAGTCAGTCCCCTCTCCTGCTTGTAAGCTCCCTTCAAGTACTGGAGGTCCACAAAGAGGTCTCACCACAGCCCTCTCTTTCCCATGCTGAACAAGCCCAATTCCCTCAGCCTTTCTTCATAGGCTGGGGGCCCCAGGCCTGGACTCAGTACTCCAGATGAGCCCTCACAAGGGCAGAGCAGAAGGAGACAATCCCTTCTCTCTCCCTGCTGGCCGCCCCTCTTTTGATGCACCCCAGGATGCAGTTGTCCTTCCAGGCTACAAGTACAAGTGCGCACTGCTGGCTTGTTTCAAGCTTTTCATCCAACAGAACACCCAAGTCCTCTCTTTCCGTAGTGCTCTCAATGAGTTCTTCTCCCAGTCTGTACGCATACCTGGGATTCCCTCGACCCAAGTGTAGCACCTTGCCCTTGGCTTTGTTGAGTTTTATGGGCCCACTCAGCTTGATGTAGTTTGCAAACTTGCTAAGAGTGCCCTCAATTCCACTATGTCATTGATAAAGATATTAAAAAACACTAGCTCAGGATGGACCCACGGTGTCACCATTGATCATCAGCCTCCACCTGGACACAGAGCCCTGAACCACAATCCCCTGTCTGCAGCCATTCAACCTGTTCCTTAACCACTGAATAGACAACACTTCAAATCCATATCACTCCTATTTAGAGATAAGATTGTGGTGTGGAAGCATACGAAAGACCTTGCACAAGTCCAAGTAGATGACATCAGTTGCCCTTCCTTCATCCACCGATGCCATCACTCCATTGTAGAAGGCCACCAGATTGGTGAGGCACGATCTGCCCTTACTTAAGCCATGGTGGCTGTTTTTGATCAGCTCCTCATCTTGCACCTGCCTTAACATCGCTTCCAAGAGGATCTGCTCCATGATCTTCCCAGGCCCAGATGTGAAACTCACCAGTCTGTAGTTCCCCAAATCTTCCTTTCCCCTTTTCTACACGTCCCTTTTTCCAGTCACGAGGGACTTCCCCTGACAGCCATCACTTTTCAAATGTGATGGAGAATGTCCTGGCAACCACATCAGCCAGTTCCTTCAAGACCCTAGGATACATCCTCACAGGCTTGTACATATTCAGCCTCATCAGATGGTCTCAAACTTACTCTTGTCTTAGAGTGGGAAGGATTTTGCTCCCCAAACTCCCACGTAAATTTCCAGACACATATGAGACATGTAGAGCCTGACTGCCGTTGAAGACTGAGTCAAAAAATGTCAAGATAGTCCTCAAATATAAAGTTGTTAGAATCACTTCCAATTTTATATTACTATTACAATAGCAATCATTCATTGTACTGAAAACTTCACAGATATCTGTGGGCCCTGAAGGCAACAGCCTTTGATTATGCTGCATTTCTCTACTTATAGAAGTTGTGAATAAACAGACATTTCTCTGGAAGCTGTATCTAAAATCACAGTGATGAGGCAGCTAAAGCATGATACTACAGGGAGACAGCAGACAAAAAGCCAACCGCATGAAATTGCCTTTGAACAATTTCAAACCCATTTCCATAGTATTCTTCACTGACAGAAGGAATCAATGCATGAATTCAGGAGGATTGAATCTGAAGGCCGTATATGCTGTGCACAGTCCTGTGTGTTTGTAGAGAGCTGTGACAAATCTGTCACTTTTTTATTCTTCCATGAAAATCTTTCTATAAAATTTGGAATCCTAGCAGCCAGAATGCGTTGCTGTTTTCAGTCCTTCAATGTGGTATTTTTTAATTTCTTTTCTGATATATATATATATATATTTTAATTTAAACACTACAACAGCAGCCACTCATTTTCAAGATCAGCTCATGTTTCTGTGTATTCTATTTAAATAGTTGCTTGGTTAATTAATACTTAAAGAGACATAGGACACTGGAGGTGTCTCTCACAAACACAGCATAATAGATTGCCTGTCTCCTGAAAGGTTTCCTCTGTGATGTGAGGGATGGTAGGTGCAGTAAAAAGCAGCAGGGTAGGTAAAGTGTGCATCTTCTGGCAGTGTGGTGAATATTGTGACAAACAGAAGCAAATCTGAATTTCCAGGCACCATTTTTAATAACCCCAATAACTCCAGTCTCATCCTTCCTCCTGGCTTTGAGGCAGGGAAAGACATGACAATTTCTTCCAGCCATGTGTTTCTTAAAGCATTGTCAGCCTTGGACACCGCAGTGGGCAAGTCCCTAAATTCTCCCCACAGCCAGAGCGATGGTCAGCTGCACCCTAGAGCTCAAGGAGTTGGCCAGGGGAGCACACAAGTTATGGCAAATCATGTTTTCAAAGGGAGAACTGCAAGAAAAAGCATAACTTTGTTCTCTTTTCTCCATGATAAAGAAAAGTTAGGGGTAGGGTTGAATTCCAGCAAGGTGGGTATGAGAAAGCTGTTGGGATTTTGAGTAAGCCTTGGCAAAACAAAAGCAGTGGCATGGATTTATATCTCAGATACTCAAGGCTTTAACCCATTGCTCAGTTTTAGGATGCAGGGAGGGACTGATTTTCAACTGCGCTGAGAATTCCGATCCACGCTTCTAACTCAAAGAAAAAAACAAAAATAAGATTTTTCCGTAATGAAAATCCCTCTTTTTCATGATGCTTACAAGCCCAAGGAAGCACCCCATGAGCATGTGTGCTTTCCTCTTGCAGACCTGCACTTTGAAGAGACGAAGCATGGCGTCCACAGCCCACTTCTTGGAGGAGGAGATGGCGGAGCTCCGCGAGGCTTTCAGCAAAGTGGGTGAGTGCAAGAGGCCGTGGGTGTGAACAGCCAACTGGCTGTGGTGAAATGAGCTTCCAGCAGTGCTCTTTTGCTGTGTCACAAACCGCAGAGAGTCTTGCCTGTCCTGGCAGAGCTGCCAGCGAAACCAGAGCACGCCATGCAGCATGCTGCAGGCAGAGCAGCAGATTTTGTGATACAGCTTGGAAACCTGAACAGAAATTCTTAAGAATGCTGCTCACTCCAGGGGAATGATTGGGAAGGGAATAGATTTTTATTTAAATGCAAATTGAGTACCACTTCTGGGGAGGAATGGCCTGGAGGGGACAAATGTGCAAATGGCTACATAATTTGTAATCCCTTTCCTGTGGCCTTTTAAGCCCTGGTTACTTTTCCACTATGTGTTTCCTTTGCAAGGTTCAAAGGTCCCCTCTGCTTTCTTTCCCTTGAAGACATGCGGATTTGCCTGTCCAAATTCTAAGAAGAGGCCCTTGCATTTCTCACTGCTTGCTTACTTTTACCATCAGATCCATCAGCCTCGCTGGGCTGTGTGCTGACCAGTTGTCCTTCCTGCTTCAGGTAGTGATGCTTTCATTTCTGACCACACAGCAGTTCAGGCTGGGAGCCTGAAACACTGAGGTATGCCCTGCGTACCCAAAGTAAAGGCAGGAATGATGCACTCATTACACTTCCTGATGTTTCTTTCTCCAAATCCAGACCCTTTTCTTGACCAGAGATAAATCAGATGCCTTCTGCAACCTGTATTAATCTGAGCTCATTCCTCTTTGCAGCATGCAGCAAGTGGTGGCTGGTTGCAGCTCACCACGCAGGAAACTCACACTCGTTTCTTTGAAGTCACCTCAGGCTCTGCTCTGGGGAAAGAGTTTGCAGAACTCACAGATCTAAAAAAAGTGAATGCAAAAAAAGAAGTAACAATTTAGAATGTATATGTGTAATACTATTGAAATACTATATATAAATATTACTTTATAACAGAAACTCTCCATGCAATAGAATCAGTTTATCTTCTTATTTGTGGAGATTTTCACAACCTGGTGGGGAAGAAAAGGCTATTTAACCCATATTACTCCTAAAATCTTCCCCTGGACCTTGCAGCAGACTCAGCAGGACTGTCTGTGTCAGCACTGTTCCAGAGGAACATGAAGCTTTTTATTTTAAGCATGACCGTTTCCATGCCTCTAATCTCATGACTTCTGATGACATTAGAATCACAGAATCACCAAGGCTGTAGAAGACCTCCAAGATCATCCAGTACAACCATTCACCTATCACCAGTATTTTCCCCTTAAACCATGTCCCTTAGTACAACATCTAAACATTTATTGAACATCTCCAGGGACGGACTCAGTATTGCATCTGATCGATTTTCTTCACTGTACTCTAGGCAGGCTAGTCTTTCCATTTTTGTTTGTTAGATGGTGATTGTAATTTCTTGGGGGATGTAAGTGCCACTGCAGTGATTGAAAATAATGGACTTCTGAATAACAGATCTTTATATGTAACGTATACTTCCTCAGGTGAAATAAAAACAGCAGCCTTCATGTGCAAAAAATTTCATTCAACTGATGGAGAATCTTAAATGTTCATTTTAATCTTTTCAGATGTCAGTGGGAATGGCTTCATCGATGCCAATGATTTAACAGATGTGTTGAAGGCAGCCAACCTCCCTCTCCCAGGTTATAAGGCCAGAGAGCTCGTTCAGAATTTGACAACCACTGAGGATGGCAGGATCAGTTTTGATGAATTTATTACAGTAAGTGGGATGTTATTTCAGAGAATAAATACAGAAAATGAAAAATAAAAGCATACCAACTTCTAAAAGAGTTTGGAATTTTTAATACATTGCATCAGCAGAAATATCATTTCCACAGAAAGAGCCTTTTCCCTGGGTAAACGTTTGTTTTTCCCCAGAATGTTCTAATTATCTGTGATGCTCAGATAATGGTGGTCCCTAGGGCACAGGAGAGCTATGAGCACATCATTTTGCTGAGGTTTTCCCCAGAGGAAAAGATGAGAGGAAGATGTAACTGAACTAGAAATCCTGTAGTTAACTGGGACAAATTAAATGAGTGCAGCTGCATATTGAACTGACAGTATCTTTTGGTTTGGTTAACACAGCAGGATTAATCTTTTTGGTTTTAAGTTGTGGAAAGATAATGCTATGGCTAGATGTCTGTAAGATATTTCAATAAATTGTTTTTTCTCTGTCCTAAACTGGGACAAAATGCTAAAATAGTGGGATTTCCATTGGGGTGGAGAAACAGAGTTTTGCTTGCCTTTTTCTCAAACTGAAACTTTCAAAAGTGCTCCTCCTGCTGACTTCAGCTCCATGGTTTCATGCCATAGATGTTTCTGTTACTGAGCTGATCTTTGTTCATGGCTTTGAAAGTATCAGAGCAGGTACACAGACTTTCTCCCACACCCGCTAAATAACACACAAGCTGTGCTTCTCCACATGTAAAGGAGACACATCTCATGGCCAACGAGCTCATGGTTTTAGCTTAGTTTAATTCTCTGAAAATTTAAAATTTTCTCTTGTGCTTGAAAGATTTTCCAAAACCTGAAGAGTGATGATGTTGCTAAATCATTCCGAAAACAAATCAACAAAAAGGAGGGCATCTGTGCTATCGGTGGGATGTCGGAACAGTCCAGTGCTGGCACACAGCACTCTTATTCAGGTAAGTACAGGAGTCCTGTGCTGGTAACAACCAGGAGTAAACGTCTCCTTCTGTAAATCTGAAACCAAACGGTTCCTGACCTTTCTGCTAGCGTCAGCAAGACCCCACCAGGGCCACTGAGTGTGAAGGAGTATGGGGATTTGAATGAGCTGAAGCCCATTGCACTTGTCATCTCATTTTGTCCATTTTTCAGATTTTCTGCTCTATGGTTGGCTGAGCCATTTATACACCCCCATGCTGGTCTGCCTAACTCAGGAAGACATATATTTGCATTCTCTGATTAAGTTAGGGATGGGCAGTTACACAGCTGTCTGGTTCACTCAGCTGAGTTAGTCATTTGTACAGAATAAATGCTCCCCCCAATTCCCTTTGTGGCAAGACTAAGTTCTGCTCCCTTGCAGCAGCTGTGGTCAGTCGCCCCATACATCCTTCCTCATCTTTCCTTGAGCTTCACAAAGTCATACTTTTGCCTGTCTCCTCAGAGCCCTCTTCCCATAGGGGTTTGTTTTTTGGTCACGCTCAGATTTAGTAGAGTCTTTCTCCCCATGCACGTTTGTAAGTAAAATGATGGTAAATTTGTTGCGTGGTAAACGGATGGGTTTGATGTTGTGTCCACAGAGGAAGAAAAGTATGCCTTTGTCAACTGGATTAACAAAGCCCTGGAAAAGGACCCTGACTGTAAACACGTGGTCCCAATGAACCCAGAAACGGATGATCTCTTCCAGGCAGTCGGTGATGGCATAGTACTTTGGTAAACAATAATTCTCTTTAAAAAGGTTACACTTCTTTCATGCTTATGAGAATTTTTCTTTGCCTCCAGACCTTTCCAAGGAGAAGTCAGTGCAATTTGCCCCCGGTAGTTACTTCTTTCTACTTTTGTTCAAGGACTTTGGGGTTTCATATGAAGTAACATAAGATACTGAGTGCTTTCATGGGAATTTCCGCAAAATAAACTTCTTGTACAACTTCACATTATGGCATTCTTACCCCATGTTTCTAGAACGTGACTCAAAACAACTGCTCGAGTGTGTATGAGTGCACATGCAAAAGGTAGAGAATGACTATGTTTGTTTAGTAACCTCCAGCTCTTTGACTTCTGCTGTAGCGTAGTGACAAAAACTCTATCTGCATGAGTTGTTACTAGTGTATCTCTTGTTGTATTTTCTTGTATTTCCAGTAAGATGATCAACTTTTCAGTCCCAGATACCATTGATGAGAGAACAATCAACAAGAAGAAACTCACACCCTTCACCATACAGGTACAAAAATGTAACAGGATCCCTTGCTTTTCTGCATAGGATGCTCCAACATAAATGCTTAGAGCAAAGGCTGGACTTCATTCTGTCCAGCACAATCAGCCAAAGTTGTCTGTGGCAAACTGAGATGCTCAGATTCACATGGCCAAGTAGAATTATATTTCTGTTTTTTCTTAAGTGTTTGAGTAATTGGACTAAACAAATGTTGTATTTGCACTTAAACCAGTGTATAAATGTTTACCTGGTCAAAGCTTGGGATAACTTTGTGGTAGAAGCCATTTGAAAACAAGAGCAGCTAGACAGACAACATGGTGAAAAATTCGAGGTGGAGGCTGAAAACGTCCTCCCTGGTTACTCAGGCATTGGACTTGAATTCACAACTGCTGTGTTGTAGTCTGATGTCCTCACCCAATATCAGCTGTGGTCCAGGCAGTATTGTGGGCTGAAACGTGCCTGAGATGGAAAAAGAGCCTTTACCTGTCCTTTACAGTCTGTGTCTTTTCACCTTGAAAACTGAATCTTTTCTTTATTTCTATCATCAGCACACAAATACAATTTAAAAATTGGACAAAAAATAAATTTTCACCTACTTAAAGTTTATTACATTTCTCACACAGCAGTACATAGAGAGATACTTTTATATAAACGACATCTGTATAACAGAGTACAGAATATAAATAGATATATGGAATGGATGTGAACCTAACCCAGTTTAGCCCTCAGCTACCCTGATTAGATGGAACATTAGCCAGGCTCAAGTAAGCTCAGAAGCCATTAAATTGGATTTTTATGCTCTATACCACATTTTTCAGTTATAATCGTTTTGGTCAGCAGCATCGCTTAGTGATGCAGCCCAGATCAATCCCTGTCACATGTAGACATGATTCGATCAATACAGCTTCCACTTTAACTTAACCCTTTTACAGCTGTCTGGTGGAGAAAAGATAATTAATTTGAAATGCTCCAATTTTTCCAGGTTATGAGAATTTACTCTGTGTCTCTCCCTGTGTTTTATAGCTAATCAAATCTATCTGTCATGCCAGCAGCAGTGAAATTCATTTGAAAATTGCAAATCTGTGTGAAAAATGGTATTTGCCAGGCTTTTTCATCTGTTTTACTCACCCTGCTCATCAAGCCTCCTTTTTAAATATTGCAGATTTATAGCTCGGATTTACTTATGCCCTTTGTTTTATATGGGAAGGAAGTGGTGAAAGAACATAATGTTCACAAAATATCACTTTTCTTTCTGCCCCTCACTGTGAATTACATGAGCCCTTTGCTTCCCCTGAAAACTCCCAGCCCTGGATTCCACACCCCAATGTCCAAACAGAAAATGTCCAAACAGAAAGGCCTGAATAGTTCTGCCCATGGTTGAAACACGAGGTTAAAAATACAACAGGTTTATTCACACTGATTCCTATGACCATATGCTTTTTGTATACTTTCCCAACTAGCAATTTATTTGTATCTTGGATATTAGGACTTTTCCATAAAGCTGCATTCCTGTATCCTCAGCTCTCCATTATTACATCATTCAGACGTTTTCTTCCCTAGGAAAATCTGAACCTGGCCCTGAACTCTGCTTCAGCCATTGGGTGCCATGTTGTTAACATCGGAGCTGAAGACTTAAAAGAAGGCAAACCTTACCTGGTTTTGGGTCTTTTATGGCAAGTCATCAAAATTGGTCTCTTTGCTGACATTGAAATCAGCAGGAATGAAGGTATGTGTGGCTCTTAGTTTCAGTGCTCTGTTATTATCTCTAAACTGCCTTCTCAACATAACTATTTAAAAAATTGCTTTAATTTAACATTTTATTTAAGTTTTTGTTGTCTTCTTGACTGCTCTCATTTCCCTTGCTCTCCACAAGTTCTGGCACTCCAAGCTGTGTGTAGGCTTGTTTGTACAAAGCCAATTTCATGCTCACTGAGTTGGGAATGATGGTTACATCCAAGCGTCTTGGTGTTTTGGCACTTTAGTCAGTGCAGAATTAATTCTGTCTAAACCTGGGATCAAGGAAATGCTACACTGCATTTTTTTCTTTTGGTGAAACCAGAGCCAAACATCTCCCTTTCTTTGGAAAACTTGATTTATATAATCATGGAATAATTTTGTCTGGAGGTCCTCTGGTCTGTCATCCAACCACCAGCTTACAGCAGGACCAGGACCAGAGTTACCCATTAACTTGCTTCAGTGGAAGGCCTTGCAATTTGTGCATGCAGTCCACACAGCATCTTTTCTTGATGCTGTGTTTGATAGCTCTCTCAGCCTATAGTGGCACTACTGTCCTCCTGTTACCATGCAGATTTCACCTTCTTTGCTTCACCTCTTGTACCTTCTAACCCTCCCATAGCCAGAGGGATCAATTCCTAGAATTCCCAGTTCCTATTCCTTTGCTGTGGAGCAGTAATGTTGAAGCTGGTCATTTTACTGGGCTTAGTGGTTCTCTTCCCATGATGGTATATTTTCCTTTATTTCTCATCTCAGACTTCAGTTTGTCAGAGTAGACAGGCCATTATCACTTTGATTTCATTTTTGGGTTCTCTTTTTCCATGATCGCCTTCCTCCACAGCTGTTGAAGGTGAAATTTCTCCTTTTTGAATGTGGACATTGTATTCTCAGAGAGCTCTCGTGAGCAGCTAGTATGAAGGCAGTAAGGCATCCCAACTTCTATGGGAAATATCTGGGATGGGATAATATCGTGTTTGTTTTTCCCCTGGTCATGTCACGTGGTAGCTCAGATTAGCTCAGAAGACATCTAATACACTCAGGTTGTTCTCATCCTCTGTTGGTAATAAGAAGCTTCTAGCTAATAGCAGGTATTCATATTAATTCCCTAGTGTGTGTCTTTCAACACGGAACTATTGAATTTCACTCCATTTTTGTTACTGAGTACCATCCCATTCTTCCTGTCTGATTTCCTCGTTGTGCACTGTGCTATGCCACCTAGTGAATGTCATCATCATCTTTTTTTTTTTTTGCACATTGCACACTATGTGTGCCAAGAAAAAAAAATAAATCAGACATTAATCCCAAAATCAATCCATGATCGACACCACGAGAATCCCTCTTCCAGATGACTTCTCTCTCTGAGGAACCTGCCCCAATGTTGGTCTCATTATGTAGCAAATTATTTTTCCTCATATCTAATCAGAATTTTCCTTGCAGCTTTTGCCTGTTGCCTATCATCCTGCTGTTGTTTTTATTATTATTATTATTGTTGTTGTTGTTGTTATTTTAAGGTATTCTGTGAACAAGCAAATAATGCGGCATTTACTGTTTTTTTCTTTTGTACATACTTAGCCTTGATTGCTCTTCTGAGAGAAGGAGAGAGCCTAGAAGATCTAATGAGGTTGTCTCCAGAGGAGCTGCTGCTGAGGTGGGCAAACTATCACCTGGAGAATGCGGGATGCAACAAGGTCAACAACTTCAGCTCAGACATTAAGGTATGAAGAACTGTGACCAACAGCAGCAGAACAGCCACTCCATGCCCAAAACCATGTTGTCCAAAGAAGAATCATGTGCTCACAAAATGTCCCTAAGTTCCTCTAGACTTTGGTTTGGAAAGCTACGCAGGCTATCCTAGCCAGACATATATAACTGGGTGTGGGGGAAGAGGATGGAGGTCTTCCAATTCCTCCATTTGATATTTCCTCCAGTACAACATAGGAAGAGTCACTAAGGACACAGAAAAAAAGCATCAGAGAAGATAATAGGAGACTTTGGGAGTGACTCAACATAATTTCCTATTGTAACAGATTTTTGGTTCAGTTGCGTGAAGTTTATCTCAGAATATCTGTAGAGAAGGAAGAGCATGGAGTCTTTTCCATGTTTCCATAGCCTGCCTACTCAAAGGATTTTTACGCCATGTTTACAGTTGGAAAATAAGGTACATATTTGCCTCTTGAAGGCCAAGAGTTCAGTCTCTACGGGCCTGGGGTCCCTAGTACAGGAAGGACATGGAGCTCTTAGAGCAGGTCCAGAGGAGGACCACTGAGATGATGAGAGGGTTGGAGCACCTCTACTATGAGGAAAGGTTGAGTGGAACTGATCTTGTTTAGCTTGGAGAAGAGAAGGCTCCAGGGAGACCTCATGGTGGCCTTCCAGTACTTGTGTAGAAACAGGAGGGGGATCAGCGTTTACAAGGGTGGACAGTGATAGGACAAGGGGGAATGGTCTTAAACTGAGTCAGGGGAGGTTTAGATTAGATATCAGGAGGAAGTTCTTTACACAGAGGGTGATGACGCACTGGAACAGGTTGCCCAAGGAGGTTGTGGATCCCCATCCCTGCAGGCATTCAAGGCCAGGCTGGATGTGGCTCTGGGCAGCCTGGTTTGGTGGTTGGCGACCCTGCACATAGCAGGGGGTTGAAACTGGATGAGCATTGGGGTCCTTTTCAACCCAGGCCATTCTATGGTTCTATGATTCTATGATGCTAAAAGTGTCCCTCCACCTCAATTCTGGTATAAATGCCCACCTTCCAAATACAGTGGGTATAAAGAACTTCTAGGGATAGAAAAATATTTAATAAATGAATGGTATCTGTCATATATCATAAGCATTAAAATTTAAAAAATGAGGTCATCTACATTTTTTAAGAATATTTGTTTGATTAAACAGTCAAGTCCCTCTACACTAACATGCAGTTTTGTTTTCAGTTCTTCTTTGACTTATTTAGAGATTAGATTAATATGTTCCATACAACTTTTGCAAAAAATGTTAACTTCTTGTCTTATCCCTGCCCTTTTGCCTGAAAGAAATGCTGATATTGTTGTTTTCAACTTTTGTCCTAGCAAGTTATGCTTTCTCTTCTATAACTGTTCCAACATTTCTTTGAAATCTGCTTTAAATCTCTGCTTTCTCCTTCTGCATTTCCTTTTATTAAATGCTCAGCAGCCTGACTTCTACAGCATTATAAAGGTATACATTTTCTTATCTCTAGTTTGATGTTCCTACTGAGTCAATTCTTACATCTCTGTTGTTGCTGTCCTTTTTATAAGTGCAACACAGCATTTTTGCCTCATGCTTTTAGCTTTTTGGTAGTGTATACATATTGGCTTAGGGAAGAAGTGGATCTGGCAAACACAGCATAAAATGGGGATTGTTAAGTGCTTCTAGCTTTAGTAATTTAATTATGTAGTCCAATGATTGATGTAATAAAAATGAAGCATGTGTGCACATTGTTCGAGAGAGCGCTGGCACGCAAAACCTGGGCTTTAGATGTAATTTTTCTCCCTTTAATTTCCCTGTCTGTTACAGGACTCAAGAGCTTATTACCATTTGCTGAACCAAGTTGCCCCCAAGGGAGATGAAGAAGGCATTCCAGCTATTACTATTGACATGTCAGGATTAAGGGTGAGATGAGATGAGATGAGATGAGATTTGTTCAGTATTTTCTGTCTTTTACTTGCATTGCTGATCAACACAAAGTTGCACCAAGATAACAAAACAAGAAAACTCAGTGTAGCAACATGATTGTATGTTTCAGAATCCGAATAAATAAATGATGTGTTTTGCTTTTCATTAAATATTCAGAGAGCCAGGGAACAGTTTGGGTTGGAAAGGATCTTAAAGATCAGCTAGTCCAACACTACTGCCATAGGCAGGGACACCTCCTGCCAGGGCAAGTTGCTCAAAGCCCCATCCAACAGTCCTTGATAAACCACTTACATGTAGCAAGTAATAAATGCATTTCTTTGGGAATTTATCCAACCCTTCCGCTTTTTTAGTGTTGTGTAACTAAAACAAACATGGCAAGATGGCTAGATTAGAGGTAAAGCCCATCTGAAGCTTTGGTGTGCTGGGCTGTGCTGGGCTGTGGGGTCATGCTGATGCGGCTCCATTTTTGGCTGGCGCAGGAGAAGGACGACGTGCAGCGTGCTGAGTGCATGCTGCAGCAGGCAGAGCGGCTGGGCTGCCGGCAGTTCGTCACAGCCACTGATGTTGTCCGGGGGAACCCAAAGCTGAACTTGGCATTCATTGCCAACTTGTTCAACAAGTACCCTGCCCTGCATAAGCCAGAGAACCAGGACATCGACTGGAGCTCTATTGAAGGTAAGGAAAATGCACAAGAAGAATGCTTCTGGCCATCTATCGGCAGGATCTTCAGCTCCGAGTTCATGATATGTTGAAGATGAAAATGTCTGAACCTCCCTGGACTGTTGAGCATGCTTCTGAGCACAAAATTATAGTTGATCTGGCATTCCTTTAATCAGGACATAATTTAAGAATATGGTTTTACATAAACCTGTCCTCTCTGGGCTGGGGTCAGGACCATCAATGTGTATATCATTTGCTGAGCTTCACATCCTTCTGTTAGCCCTGTGCTCTGGATCAGGAGTCTCAGCAGCCTCGTCCCTTTTAGTACTTTGGCTCTGAGGCAGGTGGTGCTTCTTGCAGAATAATCACTTGAAAATGCCTTTCTCGGCTCTCACGTTCTAAACCCCCTTAAAGATGCTGCTGAATAAAAGCTTTCAACTTCTAATACTAAGTTTCTGAGGTGTCATCGTTAGAGCCATCATTAAACAAGGCAACAGGAAGTGTATTTTTCCCTTTTTGGTACCATTCAAAGATTTATTTATTTTTTTTTTTTTTATTTTCCTTTGGTGCACAGAGATATAAAACAAAACCCTGAACTGAAAACATCTAAATTGCTTCTTTGGGGTGTGGTCTAATTCTCACTGCACAGCAGTTATTCGAAGATTTTAGGAGAAGGCAGTCCACTATTTGTTTTTGTATGCGATGTGTCTAGTAAATCAGTTGTGCAGTTTGTTACAGCACATTAAAAAACTGTCTGAAACAGTTCAAGTGGCAGTTAAAACTGTTAGTCTTTTGAGAGTCTGAGCTTTATTCTGTGAATCAGCAAAGTGCTTAATCATGTGCTTAGAAGTAAGAAAATACATGGTGTCCATGAAGTCAATGGGACCAGTGTAATAACTGGCTGAGCATGTATTTGATTAAATGCTGGAATGAATGGAAGTGCTGTTTGTTCTAGCATTTATTCAGTGTATGTTGTGCTTACAAAGAGATACTCAGAATAAATCCATAGTTTCAATTATTTTTAAGTTTTTCAAAAGCCTCATAATAAAATTGTTCATGCCACGAGCTCTTGAATTCTTGAAGGTATTTCAAGGCCAATCTACCTAAATACTGTAATATCTAGGGCACAAAGAAATATTACATGCACAGTGCTCTCTTATTTTTCTTGTCAGCCAGTGTCTCACTCTGTTTATGGTTCAGAGCACTGTGAATTCTGAATTATGGTTTCATCACAAGACACTTATTTTACTGGAGTGGTGTGGTGTGAAGGCCTGTTGATTGATAGATCTGTTGTTTTAGGTGAGACAAGGGAAGAGAGGACGTTCAGGAATTGGATGAACTCCCTGGGCGTTACTCCACGTGTAAATCACTTATATAGGTAAGGAGAGGCCTTACACTTCCTTCAGACAATACATGCAGCCAGAAAATTGTTTATAGAAAACATTAAAAAATGTTAGACCTTAATAATATGTATATAAGGTCTAAAAGTATATATATATATATATATATATATATACATATATATAAATATAAATGTATATACACATAATATATACGTTTAGGAAACTAAGTGTATCTCTACTAATGGTTCAGCTGGATACCTTTCTTCATTTATTTGGTCAGTGATCTATCTTTTTTGCTGTTTTCAGTGATCTGTCAGATGCCTTGGTTATCTTCCAGCTCTATGAGAAGATCAAAGTGCCAGTAGACTGGAACAGAGTGAACAAACCACCATATCCTAAACTGGGTGGCAACATGAAAAAGGTACAGAAAGCTGGAATAGCTCCAGTAGCAACGTCTTACCCTAGAAGAATGTCTACAGTATTTCAAGCCACAATACCAGCACCCGTGTTGCCCTCAAGCCCCAAGAACACCACATCACATGATTTTCTTTTGTCTACTCAGTGAATAATTTTTCATCCTGAAAAATAAACGTGTTTGACTCACATTAGCTCCACTGGCAAGTGAATAGGATTGCTAACGTAAAAAAGACTTGACACCTTTTGTATCAATATTTGAAAACTTTAGTCACTTTAGTCACCAACTACATTGTATTTTCAGTGTGAGTCATATGGCACCAGCTTAATTGCTGCTATCCGGACCACTGCCCTCTACATCAAATGAAGACAGTGATGATAAACATTCTTGACCAGGTGCCTCAAGAGCTGATCACAGAGCTGCTGCTAAATACGCAGCTTTCTCCCAGCTGTCTGAGTGAATACCTCCATCCACTTAGGGCAGGGTGATTAATTGACCTGAAATATTGGCTGGGACATTGATCCTTTGTCTCAGCACAGTGCCATGTTGCTGGAGGTACTTATGAGCTGCAGATTCACATTTCCCAGGATAATGTGTTTTATGAGCCCTGATGATGAAGTGTAACGTTTCCTCCTAGGCCGACTCTTATCTTAGTATCTTTGGGATGGTGCTGCCTGCTGGTAGTCAAATACAATCTATATTATCTGTATTATCTGTCAGAAAGGATAGACCAGTTTGCCCGGGAGGATATGGGCTAAGTGATCCAAAGAATGTGCAGTAATAGTGGCTGTCTTGTCAGCCACTTCTTTCTTTCCATATTTTTGAACCTTATTAACTGATTCTGTCATTAACAGCTCGAAAACTGCAACTATGCAGTGGAACTGGGAAAAAACCAAGCCAAATTCTCCCTTGTTGGCATCGCTGGACAAGATTTGAATGAAGGAAACCGTACACTCACACTGGCCTTAATCTGGCAGTTGATGAGGAGGTATGGCAGGCAAATACAAGCTTCAGAGTGTACACACAGCTGCCATAGTAGTAGTTTCCAGATGCTATTAACAAGAAGGATTTACAGGCTACAGCTTTTTCTTTCGTCTGTTTGCAGATAGATGCATAGACAGGGTAACCTAGTTAGGAATGTGATCATGAAGCACATTATCTTGTGGCCAAGGCCATTACATTCAATTCATGCAGAAGATTATTATTGGCACCATCCATATAGCATGAATGAATGTTCATTGTATGGAAGAGAGAGAAACGAGATGAAATGTCTCCGTATTGAGGAGTGGAGAAAATGTACTGGGAACAAAGAACTGAAGCAGAAATTCTGTAACCTGCTACCTGGAGCAGATGCAACCTGGTAGCTCTTTCCATTTTAATTTCTTTGTGTCTGTGTTTAAGAGTCCATAATAAAGTGTAAAGAGACCCAGTGGCTGGGAAGTGAATACAGATTACGTTCTGCAACTTGTGAGTGTATCAGGTGATTAATACAGGGAGGAGGTGATTACTTGCCATCAGTTTGGGATGTCTTTCCAGAGTGTATGCTCTCATATAGGGAAGTGTTTCATATCTGTGTTTATGCGGGACATCAGTTTTAGAAGAGAACAATTAGCTTCTGCCTATAAAGTCAGTGATTATTTTTTAAAACAATAAGAGAGAGTGAGTCATTTGCACTGAGATCCCAGGAGAGGGACCTTTTAGGCATTTTGAGAATCAAAATCTTTTGACACTCTGAAAGCAATGACTAGGGAATTGGGGGTGAATGAGAACCATTAGATGAATTAGCATGTTATAATATATATATTCTCTGAATGTGTGAGGAGTGGGGAGATATTGGGTCTAAGAGGTATATTGGGTTCATGCATTTGATCTGTTTGGGTTTGAGGTTATGGTAGACATTGAACAAAAGCAGATATTCTGGCTTTCCTCTTAAGGTACACTTTGAGTATCCTGGAAGATATTGGTGGTGGAGAGAAGGTGAACGATGAAATCATTGTCAACTGGGTCAATGAAACACTGACTGCAGCCGGCAAGGATTCAACCATCTCCAGTTTCAAGGTACAGATTATTGTTTGAAGTTTGTGCTCAGGACTCTGCTATGCAGTGTGTTTGTGTGTGTTATACACGTGGTGTGAATAGAGGCATATGTATGCATATACTCACACACTACATTGTCATATAATTGAGTACAGTGCAAAAGATAATTTTTCATTCCCTTTTAAAGGCATTTTCAGATCTGTAGATTTTAATCAATGGCCTTTATTATGAAAAGGTAGTAAAAAGATGATATAAACATAACAGAAAGCACTTCGAATGCCATTTTGACACGTGAAATCAAAGTATGGAGTAGGGATGATAGCTGACAAAAACTGCTGTGTTACTGACTATTAAACAGCAACAGTTAGAAGTGATAGTATTAAAAAGAGCAGTACACTAACAATCTGGTAGTACCATTCAGGGCCCTATTTTGCAAGGTGCATGAATTAACTCCAATTCCAAGGAGCTTTCAATTTCCATAATATAGTACCACAAGCTGGGAAACATGCAAGGGATGTAAATTATTAGTTTGCACCAACTGAAGTCCCCTGTCACTCCCTATCAGCAGATTTGCATCACTGAAGTTTCCACCCAGCAAACTCAGAACACTGTCTTGTGATTTAATACTGTCTCACCCATTCAGACAAAAAAAAATCCGTGAAAGGTTTCTGAGTCTGCCTTAGATGAAAAATCATGCTGAGCAGCACTTCATAAAGATCTCACTGGTAAATGAGCTGCTTTTGCTCTGGAGCCTGGACTCTGGCTTTGTGAGAGATATGTCTTCCTGTTCTTGCATCTAATTGTGTTTTTCGTCCATGCAGGATGGCAAAATCAGCACCAGCATGCCAGTCCTTGACCTCATTGATGCCATTCAACCAGGATCAATCAAATATGACCTCCTGAAAACAGAGGATCTTAACGATGAGGAGAAGCTAAATAATGCTAAGTAGGTTCCAAGTGACACAACTCCAGTTAACTCTGTGCTCAGGCTTGCCTGATTGTCTTTGAAACACCTCTGCTGTGCTTCTCATCTGGCACATCCTCAGCTGAGAACCTCCAGAGTTAAAAGCATGAAGGCCAGAAGATAGGCACTAAAATAGGCTATCACTGGAAATGAAGTGTATAATGTCACAATTCCTGCTTTATTGCTCACTTCATGAGATCAAAATCACTTGGCTTCCCAAGCTCCTATTTTGGTTTATTAAATTTAAAACTCTTTTGGAGATAGGGAATAAGGCCAACAATTGTAAGCCAGGAAAACCAGTAATTAGATGTCATGATACTTTGTTAGTCACATACAGGTGGCACAGGCACATGATTAAGGCAGAAAGGGAAGACAGGATTCATGCCTCAAAAGCTGTCTTTTTGGAGTGCAAATGATTTCCTAGCAGGAAGCCATTCCTGAGAGCATCATCTCCTGTCCTTTCAGAGTTACCTGATCACCTCCCAGTCTCTTATCAGTTTAGCTTCTCCTTTACTTTGTGGCAGCTACAAAAGAGAAAAGGATGACTGCAAGGCAATCACAGCTGCAAATATTTATTTTAAAGACTTTTTCCACTGTTCTTTTACCCTCCTTTTTCCTATCATCTGTTCCTTTCTTTCCTTGCCATCCTCTCTGTGATCCTCCTGTACTCCATTTTTTTCATCCTTCAGCTCGTGTTTTCCTCTGACTTTTTTCCTACCTTTCTTTCCCTCATGAGTGTTTCTCTGCATTTGTAAGGTGATTCCACAGATGAATGTGCTCTGCAGTGGAAAGAACCTGGGATTTTTCTAGCATTTTTCTTATACAGAAAAGATACATACCCACAAGAGATCAGACAGTAGTCCTGCAATGCGTGCTCTGAACAGGGGATGGAAAGGTCAGATCACAAATTTTGAGTGGAACTCAAGCAGAAGTCCCTGAACACTGATTTCCAACAACACAGACGTCCACCTGCATCAGCTTTGTGCTTTCCCTCCTTGTGAATTTATTCATGTACAAAAATTGAAAAGTGATAAGAAAAGGAGCAAGACCAGTGTTGTCAGGATAATCTTTCAGAACTATTTGGAGACTAATTGGAGACTAAATGTGTTTCAGACAAGTTTAACCTGTACTGCAGGTAGTCAGTGCTCTAATCTTGAAAGAACATTAGAATCATAGAAATCATGGAATGATTTGAGCTGTAATGGACCGTTAAAGGCCATCTAGTCCAACTCCCCTGCAATGAACAGGGACACCTACAGTTTGATCAGGTGCCCATACTCTGTCTTTTACAAGATATTTAGTGCTTTATGACCAGGGCTCTCATGTCTCTATGGAACAGTTTAATTTTGGTCAACCACTAAGAAAGTTCCCAACCCACTCTAGTATTGATCATGAAAAAATTTTATAACAAAGGGAATATTAATGCTACTGCACTGATACATTTCTTTGTGTGTTTTTCTTCCTCCATTTGCAATGCAGATATGCCATCTCCATGGCAAGAAAAATCGGAGCAAGAGTCTATGCTCTTCCAGAAGACTTGGTTGAAGTAAAACCCAAAATGGTTATGACGGTGTTTGCTTGCCTTATGGGGAAAGGAATGAAGAAAGTTTAAAGCACAAAAGACTTGCACTGATGCCTGGTATTCACCCTTTTGATTCCCTCAAACTGGATGCTCTTCTCTGTATCAAGGAAACATGCAGGGTGCTCATGCTCGTAAGGCATGAATATTATACATGGTGCCAGATCATATGAAAGTCATGTATCCAGAAAATGTTTTATTTCAAAGAGAAATATATGCTTGATTTCTTTGCCTTACTTTCCACTTTGCTAGATATAACCATTTCATATTCCTGAATAAGTTTTCCAGAAGGCATACATACATAACCTCCAAGTAATGGATACCAGGATTGTCTGGCAGAGGTCACCTGGAGGTCTTTGTCTGTGGACATGCAGATGGCTTTTAGGATGATGAAATGTTGTATGCTGCTTTTGCCTGAAAATGTCTTCATGCTTCTGGCAGTGCTTCTGCCATACTTCCTTCAGTTTGCACCAGAGGTTGCAAAATGGGTTTCCTCAAACAACGCAAATATTAGTGACTATATTTTTGGAATGGTAGAATCCTCTTAAGAAATGCTGATGGAAAGAGAAAAGTGTATGGGTCTGCTGTCTGCTGCTGGTATGTGATCTGTGCAGTATCTTTCCTTGCAAGCTCTGCCTCTGCCATCACTGGCATTACTCACAGACTACATTACTGCTCACAGCACCATACTGTACCCCGGTCCTCCAAGAGCAGCTGAGCTCTGGAACCTCTGCAGGGAATGCTCCCCAAAGGATAATTCATTTTCATGCCATAATACAGTTAAAACTTAAGCAGATTGCAAAGCATGATAGAAATGAAAAGCGTGGTAAGCAAACTAAGGGGGTATGCTCAGTTAGTAGCAATAACAAACCAGAGGTAAGAAGTTAACCAAAGGGACATGGAATGTTATATTTATGTACTGAATAAAAATTAAACAGTGAACTGTACAGACTTGCACTCAAAGGGCTGTGGCCCTGATTCAGAAGAGCATTTAAATGTGTGCTTACAAACAAAACACACATTTCAGTGCTTCCCTGAACCCAGGCCAGGATCCTCAGCTGAGCAGCTCCCAGGGCTCTTGCAGATTGCCCCAGCTGAGGACCTCACCCTGTCCATGGATGGCCAACGGGTGTTTGCACTGAATCTCTTCCTTGGCTGAGTCATTTTCTGTCCTGGCCTTCACGTGGATTTTGCTGTGGTGAAATGCAGAAGGAGGGAATTTTGCCTTAATGCGATCCTGTTGATACAGTCTCGTTTTCCTCCTCCCCACCCCTCCAGCCCCTTCAGAATTGCCTTAATAAAGAGCCGATATCCAACGATAGGAGGAGTCTCTCCAAATAAAGTGTTCTACAAAGCCAAACGTGTGGTCTTTGCTGTGAGCAGGGCGTGTGCCGATGGGGAAGCGTGCATCACATAGCTGGAAGGGCGACAGATTTAACGAAGCAGCGCTGCGGCTTCGCTGAGCACATGTGAGCCCTGGCACCGGTGCAGCAGTGCCAGCTAGCCGCAAGATGGCATCGCTCATCTGGAGGTTTAGAGACTGGCAGACGCGAGCTCTGAAAATGCTCTCCTTTGGGAAACGGAGAAAAATTGGGATGTTTAACCCTAGTCAAAGTGCTGGCGCCCATCAGCATGCAGAAGGGAATAAGATCTGTCGGCAGAGATACCGCCGTGAATGCCTTAGCCGCTCTTCATCCCTATCTCTCGTCTCCTGTGAAAAATAAAGCTGTCACGGACCCAGTGTGGGAATAACTGTAAGGGTGTATAAATATTTTCACTTATCACTTCAGTTTGACTAATATACTTGGGCTGGTTTGGGGTTTTTTTTAATGGGCTTGAGGTTTTGCTTCTGTGGACTGGTAACGGGAGCCTGTAATAAAGCTCCAGCTTGCTCCTGAAAGAGTTAATCCCATGACAAACATCACCAAAAAATAAAAGGGGGGTTGGGAAGAGGGAGAAGGTTTGGAATTTTTATGCTGTTGCTTTTCTCCAACTTTTTCCATCACTTTAAAAAGCAGCTGTCTACAGGATCACTCCCAAATCAAGCTAGCTTTGTAAGCGCTTCCATTATTGATTTTCCTCGCACAATTAATCATAATTTTCCAAGCTTCAAAAAGGCTTAGTTATTCATATGAATAAAAATAAAGCATCAGCAATTACCCTAACTAGGAGAATAAAACCATGAGGGCAATCAATCCACGTGCTTCAGGGTACAGTCTCATCACCAGATGGACTCAGAAGGAAATATCCCCCCATAGTGCACTAGAGCATAATTAGGTGCATGATGAGGATTTTACACCTTGCTGTAAATCATTTCTCCTGGCTACTTTTAGAAAGGGGATACCAGCAGCACGTGCTCTCATACAGATGAAGTCAGGTTTTTGCTTCCTTCAGAGATAGGAATGAATGGGCATCACTCTTTCCTCCACGGGCAGAGCACAATTTCAGGTGCTGGTGTCCACCACTGCCAATCTAAGGTGGTATCTGAGGACCTTATATACCTTAGGGTAAGCAAATCCTGCCCAGCCTACAGCAGGGGGTTGGAACTAAATGATCTCTGAGATCTCTTCCAACCTGAGCCGTTCTGTGATTCTATGATTCTATTAATTAGGATCGATATTTGATTAAATTCTTACTTTGTTCATATTTTTAATGCAGGTCAGTCTTCTTCTGCCACCACAAAAATCACCTCATCCCCGTGGCTCCTTCCCTCCCTTTTTTTTTTTTTTTTTAATTGCTCTTCATTTACTTTTTGTGCACTGATTGCTTTCAAATGGCAACAGAGGCTTACAGAAAACCTAATTTCCTCCCCGGGTGCAAATTATTGTTGCTTGAAAAGTACATCACAGATCCATAATAAATCACCCAAAGCCTAAAAATGCCTGAATTCCCACAGGCCAAATGTTCACCAATCTGAAATTTGTGTAAAGGGCAGAAAGCCACAAAACTGATCATGCGTGGAAGCACTGAGCTCCCCCAGAGTTGGCACTCATTTAGTGCACATGTCAAGGATCTAAAGGAATGCAGCAAGGAACATCTGCAAACACAAAGCATGGAGAGAAACCCCTCCATGTGCACTTGGGAAACCTCCCAGCGGGTGAGCGACACACACGGTGCTGCTTTGTTTCACACAGGCAGAAAAGCAATGTCCTATTGTCACACATCCTGGCAGTCTGTCCAGGCTCTGGTTAAGGAAACCAGGCACCTTGGACTATGTGTTGGTTTGTCACTGAGGAGAGGAGATGTCTCCTGCCATCCTGACATGTCTCCGCCATCAGAAGGTGACCTCCCTTGCTTTTGCCTCCATGGAACAGGACACATACATGAGGTGGTGGATGTGTACTAGGTGCATCAAACCTTCCAGACCTCAAGACTCATGTATGGTTGTTTGCTAGTGAAACATCTCAAGAGAAATGTAGGCCCTCACCACTAGCACTGCCCCTGCAGCTTGTTGCACTCTCAAAACACATTTCGTATCAGGGGTCGTGGCTGCAGTGCCCCGTAATGCCTCAGTTATGATCCTTCTCAGGCCAACACTGGGCACATGGTGAGCAGACTTTGTAGAAAACATAAACGCCTCTTTGCTGGGATTATACGTTCTGCTAATTGTAGGGTCCATGAATAGTGCTCATGGGATCTCCCTGTGCGGTCACAAACTTTCTTGCCTTGCTAAACCTTACTGCCACTCTTCTAACCTCTGCCAGCAGCCATGCAGGCAATGTGGGCAGGTTCAGGCAGTCCAGAGAAGAGCAGCAAACACTGCTGACACATTCAGGGAAATTCAGGGACAGAGATCACTTCTCCTTGGCTATTTGCAATCCTGATTCGTATATATGTGTCCATATGGATATATATATGCACACAGAAAAAGGGTGTGAAAGTAATGTCTCCTATTTTGCTATGTTGGCCCACGATGTCAGAGGTGGATGTTGGTGACATGACAGTAGAGGTTGAACCTTCCCCCCAATATTCCATTACATTTTGTTGCTGTGCAACACATGGCAGCAGAGGGGCAGCCTGACAAAATGGTGTATGAGATGGAAGTGTGTATGAAGCAGAGGTGTGTCATTGAATTCTTCCATCTGGAAAAAAAATGCACCCATTAACATTCATCAACACTTACTGAATATTTATGGAGACCAAACAGTGGATGTGATGGGTCACATCCACTGGTACAAATTTTTACAAGCATGGCAAGCAGGTGAAAATGCACAGCTAAGGGTGGTAACTACATAGAAAAAAATAGTGTTTTGTAGCTAAGAATTTGCTTTATCAAATAGTGTTATTGTGCTCTTTGCATCTGCTATAGTTTTCATGGAAATAAATAGGAGGCATTAATTTTGGAGCGACTTACAGAGGGAAAGGGGTCTGTACACCCATCCTCCTGCACTTCAGCCAAAGCACTCTCACTGCACACAGTGCATACAGCACCTTCCCCAAGTGTTCCTGTGGCTCCCCTTGACGTCCTCTGTTTAACAATGTCACACTTCAAGGGCCAGCTGTTGAGATACAGGCAAATAAATCAATATCTACTGGCAGCACAAAAACATGAGTCACCTGGGGAACACACTGTTTGGGTAGAAGCTGATAACGGCCCTTCAGGAAACCAAATTCATGAGGAAAGTGTTCAGCCAGGACTGACGCATCCTCACCTCCTCAACCTGCATACACAATTTGCTGCTGAATTGAACTACAGCATGTTCTTTGCTGACCTGGAAAGCTAAACCGCAACAAAAGGATAAAAATGAATGAAATGGGTGGGGGGCAACTTGTGAGTACTCAAAACCTCAAAGTGAACGTGTATTTTCAGGCTCTGTTCATATCTAGCAGTCACACACCAGCACTCACGCAGGGCTGAGAGGTTCATTTTCTGCCAGGTGAACTCATCATTTTCTAGTGCAGGTAGAATTTGACTTTTATATTTGGGACTGACATGAGGGAGAAATGCCAGAAGCACAGGCAGTTGGAGATAAACCACAATTTGCCACCCTGGTGGTTTCATGCTCTGCAAAACTGTTTGCAGACTGAAATGACAGAGGTTGGTGACATTGGCCATGTATGTAAATGATCACAGTGTCCTACGGAGATTAATTGGTTCATGAATAAAGATGAGATGCTGAGGTGTGCAGGGAGAAATCATTTATCAATTATATGCCTTGGAAAGCTGAAAGATGATGCGGCCTTAACAGCTGAATGGGTTTGAAAGGGAGCCTTGTAAATTGAGTTCTAATTCTGTTCTGCCGCATTCATAATAAAGGGCTGTTAAACTAATTGCATCCTTGTGTGGCTCATGAGCAGCAGCCCTCAGCTGCACCACACAGCAAGCCATGGGGATCACAGTTTAGTTAGATTTTAGTCACCCTTTGCCTCATGTAAGGATGCTAGCCAGTTACTTTTGGCCTCATCGACAGTGATAATGAACCAAAAAAGGGCAAAAGCCTGTAAATATTTGTAAGGATATTAATTTTGCACTTGAACCTGTATTAAAAGGATCAAGAGGAAGCGCACAGACCCACTTGGCTCTTGTGCTCTCCTTAAGCCACACGGACCCGTTGGGAGCCCATCCCTGGAGGGACTTGTTATGGATTAACGAAGCAAGAAGAGTCAGGAGGATGACACCAGTGGCAGAATATGGTAACCCCAGCCAGGGAGAATCATCTGAGGGATGTGGCTACTGATAACAGCTGTCTTTCCCTTCCTCCTGATCTTTCCATCCACTAATTGATGGTTTTGCTGCTACCAGCAGCCTTTCTGTTGGGCAGTGAGCTAGCCCAGCAATCAGGGAAGGCAGCCTGGCTGAGCTCAAAAGGAATCCTGTGACACTTGGCTGCTGAAAGCTGAGGGTGCTGCTAATGGGAGTCACTGGAGTTGGCTCGAGACCATCCAGCTGCAGCAGTTCAAGCAGCTCCTCCTTCAGTGTGCTTTATCTGATCACATTTTGGCTCCTTTTCACCATCAAATACAGCTGTAGAAGTCCTGCACGAGGCCCAGGACCAGTCTAGCAAGAGGTCCAGGCCCAGCCCAGCATCTCACCTGTGCTGGAACACAGGGTGCTTGAGTAGTGACACCCTGATATAGATGGGACATGAGTGCTTGACCTCCTCCGCTGATACATTTTTAGGCACTGATGTCATAGAATCATGGAAGGGACCTTTAAGATCATTTAGTTCCAACCCCCTGCTGTAGGCAGGGACACCTCCCACTAGACCAGGTTGCTCAAAGCCCCATCCAGCCTGGTCTTGAATGCTTCCAGGGAGGGGGCATCCATAGCCTCTCTGGGCAACCTGTTCCGGTGTCTCACCCCACTCACAGTAAAGAATTTCTTCCCAATATCTAGTCTAAATCTACCCTTTTAAAGCT